GATAGTTTGGTAAGGGATGGGCCTCATCTGAGAGCTCAACAAAGCGTATTGACAAAAAGGTATCAGCCATCGGAGAAATATCAAGAAGGGGAGGTCCTACCGGCGCGTGAGATACTCAACCCCACTACGGCGTGGAGGGCAGTAAAGGTTGTAGACAATTGTGTGCAGACCTGGGACCAGGTAACGGCAGAGGAATGTGCGCACTCATCTGACACCGAGGTGGTTAGAGCAACTCCAACAAGGCTGTTTAAAATAACTATTCAAAATATATTTAAATATTATATTATTTATTTTAGTTAATCATTTTTTTAAATTCACTCCAACAACACTACATATTTTAGTTAACCACTTAAATTAACTTTAACTAACTTTCAATAATAAAATTTTAAACACTACACTATGCCAAGTCATCACCATATGATATGTGAATTTGGTCTAGTAATCACAAATATGGAAGAAACCCCAATTCAAAGGCAATTCAATAAAATCCAATTCAATATTATACTGAAAGGAACAAAACAATTTAAGTTCTTCAGACCATAAACAATCACTTTCATGGGCGGACCAACACTTCCATACCCCGACTAATTATAAAATCACCTGTCACTGTATTCATAAACATGTACACAGTGGACGAGTCGTCCAACCAAAATCGAAGACAACAAAAAAAAATTCTAAACCTGTAATTCACTAATTATCCCAAGTAAGGAACTGATCAAATTTTCTCCATCAAAACCAAAATTCATCATCAAACCAGAGAAAAACAGAGTGAAAAATTCAACCATCAATGCAGTTACACAATACCCATTAATTCACATACGGAAGTAGACATCAATGAGAAAATTCAACCCAGATTGGACCAATAAAATTAGGGTAAATCTCGAAGCACTGGTCAGAGGAAGTAAAGAAAACTGCCAGTCCTAGTTGTTTCTCACTGTTCTTTTCGCTTTGCCTAGAAGCATAGAGAGAGAGAGAGAGAGTATGTACCTGATTTGTGCCTTCGACTCTGAAGTAGCTCTAAGAGAAAAGAGCTTTGTTCAATTGATTTGAAGTAGCAAATCTGAAGCAATAAATCGAGTTTGATCGATTGATTTGGGATTTAGATTTTGTGGCTTGAGAAGCGCATACGCATAGAGTCTCTGAGAGAAAGAAGATTTCAAGGTGCTTGTGACTTCACTGTCTATGAAGGCTTCTAGTTCAATCGATGGAGAGGCAGGAGTCTGACGTCAGCAAAGGAGGTTTGGGCTAACTAAATGTATCGAGCAAAAAACGGGCAGTGAAAAATAGATAGCCAGATAGTTAGTCTGTTGGAGCTACTTTTGAAAGAGAAAATATCTAAAATAGCTAAGGGTAGGGGTTTACCTAGCCTATTGGAGATGCTTTTATGACATGTGGAGGGATTGCACAGGAGGATGTGGGAGCAGCAAATCAGTATGGAAAGGTATTGTCCACCCTCTCTGATGGCTATAATCATATTGTTTCTCTCTCTATCACTGGATTAGACAATGTTAACCCTAAGGAAACAGCTTTGATCCCCTATTTACAAATTTATCCTACAGAGAATGAATTTTCACAAACACCCTTTGTCTCTTCCTTACCCCATTTGGTCACAAATTTAAGCCCAAACCTGGATACTCAATCTATTTTGTATGCCAACCCAAAAAGCCCATCAAAACCTCATAACCAATCACTTACATTTGAAAACCCAGAAAACCCACCCACCAAAACGATCACTTTTAATTGGTAACTTAGAAAGCCCACCCACCATTACCCATTTACCTTTAATTGGTAACCCAGAAAGCCCAACATTCTACATGCTATCATGTTTCAATCTATGGCTCAAGGGGGTTATGCAATCAAGCGGAGAGTACAAGGATTTCAGTGAGAGAGGATGTGGCCAGTTTTTTGAACACTATACACTATACACTCCATTCCGATTTCCCAACCTGAGTTGATAGTTGACCACTGTATGGCACACGTTTTCCATAAATTGTCTCTTAAACCTCACCTCCCAGAACATTGGTCTAGGAATAAAAATTGTAAGGTGCAGAGAAGGGAAGATGGATTCCTTGTAGTAGGGGAAGCTGTTGATGGTATAAGAGTGCAAGAAGAAGGTGTAAGTATTACTGTGCAAGATAAAGATGTAAGGGTGATGCAGAATGATGTTGAGATAAAAGGGGATACGAAGGAAAATGAGTCCCTAGCAGGAAGAAAATCTGTGCGCAGATTCAGAGGAATAAAGTCTACAAGGAGACTCCTTGTAGACTTTATTCCTCTGAATCTGCGCACAGATTTTCTTCCTGCTAGGGACTCATTTTCCTTCGTATCCCCTTTTATCTCACATCATTCTGCATCACCCTTACATCTTTATCTTGCACAGTAATACTTACACCTTCTTCTTGCACTCTTATACCATCAACAGCTTCCCCTACTACAAGGAATCCATCTTCCCTTCTCTGCACCTTACAATTTTTATTCCTAGACCAATGTTCTGGGAGGTGAGGTTTAAGAGACAATTTATGGAAAACGTGTGCCATACAGTGGTCAACTATCAACTCAGGTTGGGAAATCGGAATGGAGTGTATAGTGTATAGTGTTCAAAAACTGGCCACATCCTCTCTCACTGAAATCCTTGTACTCTCCGCTTGATTGCATAACCCCCTTGAGCCATAGATTGAAACATGATAGCATGTAGAATGTTGGGCTTTCTGGGTTACCAATTAAAGGTAAATGGGTAATGGTGGGTGGGCTTTCTAAGTTACCAATTAAAAGTGATCGTTTTGGTGGGTGGGTTTTCTGGGTTTTCAAATGTAAGTGATTGGTTATGAGGTTTTGATGGGCTTTTTGGGTTGGCATACAAAATAGATTGAGTATCCAGGTTTGGGCTTAAATTTGTGACCAAATGGGGTAAGGAAGAGACAAAGGGTGTTTGTGAAAATTCATTCTCTGTAGGATAAATTTGTAAATAGGGGATCAAAGCTGTTTCCTTAGGGTTAACATTGTCTAATCCAGTGATAGAGAGAGAAACAATATGATTATAGCCATCAGAGAGGGTGGACAATACCTTTCCATACTGATTTGCTGCTCCCACATCCTCCTGTGCAATCCCTCCACATGTCATAAAAGCATCTCCAATAGGCTAGGTAAACCCCTACCCTTAGCTATTTTAGATATTTTCTCTTTCAAAAGTAGCTCCAACAGACTAACTATCTGGCTATCTATTTTTCACTGCCCGTTTTTTGCTCGATACATTTAGTTAGCCCAAACCTCCTTTGCTGACGTCAGACTCCTGCCTCTCCATCGATTGAACTAGAAGCCTTCATAGACAGTGAAGTCACAAGCACCTTGAAATCTTCTTTCTCTCAGAGACTCTATGCGTATGCGCTTCTCAAGCCACAAAATCTAAATCCCAAATCAATCGATCAAACTCGATTTATTGCTTCAGATTTGCTACTTCAAATCAATTGAACAAAGCTCTTTTCTCTTAGAGCTACTTCAGAGTCGAAGGCACAAATCAGGTACATACTCTCTCTCTCTCTCTCTATGCTTCTAGGCAAAGCGAAAAGAACAGTGAGAAACAACTAGGACTGGCAGTTTTCTTTACTTCCTCTGACCAGTGCTTCGAGATTTACCCTAAATTTTATTGGTCCAATCTGGGTTGAATTTTCTCATTGATGTCTACTTCCGTATGTGAATTAATGGGTATTGTGTAACTGCATTGATGGTTGAATTTTTCACTCTGTTTTTCTCTGGTTTGATGATGAATTTTGGTTTTTTGATGGAGAAAATTTGATCAGTTCCTTACTTGGGATAATTAGTGAATTACAGGTTTAGAATTTTTTTTTGTTGTCTTCGATTTTGGTTGGACGACTCGTCCACTGTGTACATGTTTATGAATACAGTGACAGGTGATTTTATAATTAGTCGGGGTATGGAAGTGTTGGTCCGCCCATGAAAGTGATTGTTTTATGGTCTGAAGAACTTAAATTGTTTTGTTCCTTTCAGTATAATATTGAATTGGATTTTATTGAATTGCCTTTGAATTGGGGTTTCTTCCATATTTGTGATTACTAGACCAAATTCACATATCATATGGTGATGACTTGGCATAGTGTAGTGTTTAAAATTTTATTATTGAAAGTTAGTTAAAGTTAATTTAAGTGGTTAACTAAAATATGTAGTGTTGTTGGAGTGAATTTAAAAAAATGATTAACTAAAATAAATAATATAATATTTAAATATATTTTGAATAGTTATTTTAAACAGCCTTGTTGGAGTTGCTCTAACCACCTCGGTGTCAGATGAGTGCGCACATTCCTCTGCCGTTACCTGGTCCCAGGTCTGCACACAATTGTCTACAACCTTTACTGCCCTCCACGCCGTAGTGGGGTTGAGTATCTCACGCGCCGGTAGGACCTCCCCTTCTTGATATTTCTCCGATGGCTGATACCTTTTTGTCAATACGCTTTGTTGAGCTCTCAGATGAGGCCCATCCCTTACC